AGAACAGCAGGTGTTGATGGTAATGAGATTACTAAGTCATCAAAATCCTCCTATCTACATGTACCTTCTCATGACACCATGCTGAGAGACACAGGACAGCAGGTAAATTGCGATGTGTAATAGAGATGTAACAGTGAGACAGACTGCTGTCAGCTCCTGTCTGAGACAAGAACATAGCACATTGCTGATAGCCTGCTAAAAGCTCAGGAGGTGTGAGGTGGACTTGACAGGCAGCATCCCTCTCACCCAATATCATTTCAGGGAATCCTGAAAATATTGTCTGAATATTGTGTGAATATATTTTGTTTGTGAGAATGCACATATGGCAGAGCAAGGGAAGCAGTTTTGCTTTGTTTTAAAGTAGAAGGCCATTCTTTGTTCTAAAGTCTTACATTGCTGCCACAGCACTGCAAGGTGAGCAGGGATGACACACTGCCTGACTAATGCTGCACAGTGTGAGGAAGAGGCAGTCAGGAGCTGGAACCTCTCCTCACTTACAAGGAATGTCCTTGGCTTAACACACATCTCGAGCTCTGCACATGAGCTCATGGCAATGCTCTGTTCTCAGATAACAATTTAGTGAAGAAGCAAGCCGAAAGCATACACGGGACAAAGACCAAATGTTGAAAGAAAGAATACAGATCCTTGGAGGTGAAGGCCATCCAGGTGGGAGACTCCTAGTGAACCAAGTGCTGACCACTCTGAAGGAAATAATTAAAGGCTGAATTAAGTCAGACAAACCATGGTGGCAGAGGACAGAGTCTGATGGGTACTGAGACAGTAAAGGCAACAAGAGAAGACAAAGAAAGAAGAGAAAAACCCTCAAGAGAGCTTCTTGCTTGTCATATGGAACAACTGAGGTCTCCCCTAGAGATGGAGCTCTTTGCTTTGCAAGAAGGAGGCTTTTGAGGCTAGAAGTGGAGTTAAGTCCTAGCAAGGGACTGCCTGATGAATCTCAAGTTGGGAGCAGAACATTGGGAGATCACTTCAACATAAGCACTGAGCCAGGAGACATACTCTCAAGAATGAAGAACTGTTCTGCTTCTGATCATCTTCTACCTGAAGATGCAGAATGCAGATACAGCTTGCATTTGCAGGACGTTATTCTTTCAGATGAGATTCAAACTCAAAAAAGGCAGGAAAGGACAGAAAACTGTGTAAATGTTGTATGTGTGACTTACCTTCTCCCTGTATTAAGGATACTTTTTAAAAGGTACAAAGCAAATATTCAACTTACAATATGAAATAAGATGTGAGGGTCCCGATCCTGTCCTTCTGGGTAGGACCAGGACTCGAAGAAGGAAGAAGTGTCCATACCTTCCACAAGAAACTACCTCTGAAACTATCATACTGGAATAAAGTTTCCCATCCTGTTTGACCGGGTGGATCCTATTTCTCTCAGCAGCACTTACTGCACTTACTCTTATTACTCAGAGACCTACTGTTAGAGAACTCCAACTTCCTGTGACACCAACCACAGTCACTGTGTTTCTTCCTCCTGTCACTTTCTCTTTGACCAACAGGACTCCTGTGCCCTTCACTCTTACCTCCCAGACCTCTACAGTCGCTCTGAATATGATCAAGGCTACTTCTAGCAGTACTCCACATAATGCATGAGCTGCAAGACACAATAGTGTGAGGGCTAGATGAGCCTAGGCAAGTCCTCTGCAGCATCACAGCCCCTGGCATACAGTAAACCATGCAAAACAGCAAGTCATGTTGATAGATAAGCATCTCCATCCCTTATAGAGGACAGTCTCTGATAACCACCACCCTCATTTCCAGCTCTGTCACAATCCTTTCAGTGCATCAACATACAGTCCAAGCAGTACCACACTGACCTGAGCAGAATTTCTGCTCCCCCTTCTGTCTCTGTGGCTCTTAGTGCTGTACTAAATGCTGTGTCCCCATGTGCTGGGCTCTGGGAGCTGCAGCTTTGCCTGCTGGGCCCTTCTATAGAGACAAACTGTGCATCTCTGTAGTTTCCCAGAATTTCTCAAACTCATTACAGTTGTGTCTACAGCATCCAGTTTCAAGCATCTGTTCCTAGGTGTGCAATAGGTAGCTTACATGCAGTTTACATACTTGAAGTAAACTCCAGAAGCCAAAATGTAGGAATCCTGAGATGGTCAGTAAAACCACACTGGCTTTCCTAACTTCTTAAAGCAATTGGCTTAGATTACTTCTTGATGACATTTACATTGAACTTGCCTTTCTCTCCTACTCCTTATAAACTGCATCAGATTGCTTATTTAATAGTGTGATGATGGAAGACAGTGACAGTGTACAAATATTAATGAATTGCCTGTGCTTTTGGAAGCTTAGAAAATCTCCAAGCTCTTGGTTTCTTTGGGCAAAAAGAAATTTACAAACTGAAAGGTGAATGAATGACAACTGCAGTTCATCATTTGGAACAGGGTGTTGAAGTTGATAAGCTTTGCACTGGAAGCTGGGGAGGAAGCAATAGCAATCAGGCTGGAGAGAGACAGAGCAAAAAGAATCACCAGAACTTTGAAGGTGAAGTTAGTATTTTTGGTTGTATATTATATGAACAAAACAGACAATGGGTGACATGTTTTATTTACCAAATAAATCTAGCTCTAGCTCTCAGGTGAAAATAACTTTTTCATCTGCTCAGAAAATGAATCATGATTACTTTATAAGCTTACATCAAACAATCTTCAGCATCAGGACTTAGTATTGAGGCCTCTTCAATTCCCAGAATACCAAATCTCAAATCCGCATTTAATTTGGAAGCAAGCCAGAGATTGTTATAGTGCATGCAAGGCAGATTGAAGCACTTTTCTTAGAAATGTCCATGTTACCGATACCAGTAAACACTAATATTACAGTGGTGCTAGGAGATGCTGTGCGCTGCAATGCTGTGCTCAGCACTGTTCTGCACAGCCCGAGGAGATTTATCTTTGATGCCCTGGAAAGATGCTGGAGATGATCAGAGCAAATGCATGCACATGATTATTTGAGAGACATGAGTTTGTGCAGGGTGAGGGTAGGGGTCACGTGCATAGGTCAGGAGGAGACAAAGGAAACCTTGCAAGAAGAGGGATTGAAACAGAGGATAGATTACACATCCAGTGAAGTAGAGGACAGAGCCACACCACAGCCTTGAACTGCAGTCACTGCTACAGCACCACCCTGGCCTGTAGGGACCAGCAGTGAATATCCCCAGAAGTTAAAATGGGGAATAAACAAACATTGGGGTAGACATGCTTTGTATTATTCTATCAAGGTTGGGTGGAGGAATTTATGAATTTGAACTAGTCAGGGCTTCCAGCTGCCTCAGGTTACAATCAGGTTTACGTAACCTGATGCATTCCAACTCAAAGCATTTCATCATTTTCTCGCTATAGAAACTTATGGTTTTAAGAAAATGAGGTAAAATCTCTCCTTAATCCTGCTGTATCTCAGAACAATACCTTGGCTCTCTCTCTCCTATTTCTTTTCAGAGAAGCGTTGCCAGTTGCCTTGATACCAAATTGACTAATAAACGTGAAAAAAGCAGCTGTTTGCTGTTGATAGATGCAATATTGCACAAAGTCAGTGTAAGAAATTAAAAGGCTTGTTTACAGCTATCTTTGTAGCACTGCTTAAGAACTCAAAAAATCAGATATGGTGACAATTAATCACACATATTAATCACATGCAGTTTCTCAGACAAAATGTGAACCGGGGTCATCCTGGTCACTGATAAGACTCAAATATTTGATAAAAGTGAGACTGGGTGTCTGATTTACTAAGCTCAACTACGTACATTATCATACATGTTCTTACAGTGGGGAGAGAATGTATATTTATAAGTGAATTCTGTGATAGTCTCTATGGTTACAACTATGGTTATATTTTTCTAATATACACCATTGTCTTCAAATGCTTAATTTTCCATGTTTCAATTGCTTAGGATGAAATTTTCCATCACTGCCTGTTGTTTCCAGGTGAATTCTCTAGCAGTTACACTAGCAAATGTACGGAAGAATTCTCGCGGGTCCTTAATGCTGAAACAGCAATTGGGAATCTGGCAGGGATTTACTATTATCATCTGTTACCATCCTCTCACATTTACCCCATGGCTTGCTGACTTTCAAAGACGCAGCGGATCCTGCTAGAGGCTTTGTGCTGGAATTTCCAAATGTAGCATCTACAACAAATGTACCAGCCTCACATGGCCACTACCAAAATGCAGCCAGAACCACGTATCTGTGGCCAACCCCAAAGAGCTACAAAACAAGGTTCAAATGGGGCACATCAACTCTTCCCTTCACCTGAGGAATTGTACCTAGGGGCTGAGGACACAGAATGCTGCACATTATTATTTTTTTTACCTGCAGCTTTTCAACTGACTACAAATACTTGGCTCCACCCCACCAGTATTTTGGCATCTTTCATATTCATCCCAGCAGCAGATACGTGATTGGATCTCCAAAAACCCACAATCATTCTGCGAAACACTAACTTCTGTGAAAGGGAATTTCTAAGAATAAAGCCCAAGTATTATGTATTTCAAACCTGGACAGGAAGTATTTTCTTTGAACAGCCTTGCCAAAAAGAAATATCTAAAAATGGACATCTCCCACCAACCACACTCTTAAATTATGTATGCCATCACCACCATGCATGCTAGATTCTGCTTATTTAAGTCATGGCATATTGGGGGGAAAATAGACTCCATATCCTATGCTTTGGGTCACAGGAGTCAAGATGCTCTAGGTTCTCAAAAAGAGGTTCTCTAGCCAAGCTGGGATCCTAAGCAACAGCTTGTTCTTTCGCTAATATCTTTATCACACTTCTATTCTTCAGATCTTCATTCATCACCTTTTCTATTTCTCAGAGTTTAGGTGGTTGTCTACTAAATTTAAGCTTTTTGAATATCCAATTACTGCTGTTTCTGATTTCCTAATCATTTTTACTACCTTTGACCTACTTTGACTACCATGGAAGTATTTAGCACTTAAGTGACCAGTTGCTTCTCTTGTACATTGCAGGTGTCCTATGGTTGTCAGTAGTATCTGAGGTGTTATACATCATGCTGTTAGTCGTCGGATTCAGCCTTATGTGCCTCGAGCTCTTTCATTCAAGCAGTGTAATAGATGGGCTCAAGTTAAATGCCTTTGCTGCTGTCTTCACCGTGCTTTCAGGTATGAGTGCTCCTTTCCCTTTTTGCCATAAGAACGGGACAAATCAAAATGCTAAATCTCTGAAGGGATAAAAACTGGGGGCTACAAGACTCTTATCTCCTCTGAACTATCGCACTGTCACTGTGAACTGGGAGCTGGAGCAGCATAATAAATTCACCTCTTGCCAGGAAGAAGTAAAAAAGCACAGCTCTGATTTCACAATGGCAATGCAGTAATTAGCCTCTCCCATACCCTGCCCAGCCACTACCAGGGTCTCAGCTTCCTTTTTCAGCAACATCATTTTGATAATGCGATAGGAAATGAGAAATATATTGTGTTGAAAATTCTTTTTTCTGTGTTAATCCTAAGAGCATATGAGGGCTTGACACTCCAAACCAAAGAAAGATGTTTATCTTGTTCTTCAGCAAAACTGAGAATGAAAAGGATTCCAGTAATAACACTTAGGAGAAATCCCAAGAGTAAGTTTGGAACAAGCATATCCTTCAGAACAACTGGTTCAGACTGTTTTCATGCTCTGTCTGTGCCTGGAGCCTTTCAATGTATGAACTTAAGGAGTTCACTTGTCTAAAAGTTATCAGATCTAACCACGTAATGAAGGACCACTTCACTTCTACACTGGCTCAGAGCTCTGCTTGCCAGGATTTATACAAGCAACTAGCCACAGCTGGCTTTTGTGAGCACACCTGGATGGACTTCTGTGGCAGATAGAACATCTGAATTAAGAGAATTTTGTTTTGGTGTGTTTCAAGCTGAAAGACATCATAACATGCAATGCACATTTCTGTGAAGGAGTGTCAATCTTCAGGACCGCCTCAAACTGAAATGCAGTTAGTGATATAAAACTTGGATCAGAAGCGAATCTGAGAGGACAAAAAAAAGTCTGCTAAAAACTGCCAAAGCTTAATTTTCTGGTTCAGATGTCACTCCCAACCCTCTTCCCATTAGGCAGAAGAAGTAATAAGTGCCAGCTTCAATTTGATCCCTGTGTTCCAGCAGCCCTTGTTCACGACCTCCTACTCACCTGAGTCAATGGACTGTCATCTTGGCCTCCCACTCAGCAAACGGGCTGAACATTGCTGAAACATCCATCTAAGTTCTGTAGGAAAGAAAAGAACAAAACAGCCTTGCTGAAGTTAGTCCTGGCTGTGTCAAACCTCCTGGTGACTGAGTGACAGTGACATGCCTCAGGGTAGTCTGTAATATTTTATCAAAGTTGAAAAGTGACTGGCAGAAATTATAGGAACAGCAAAGCACCAGTTTTTAACATCAATATCATACCTATCAGCTGGAGAAAAATCCATTTGCTTAAGAAGTACAGCAAGCTCCCAATGAATTCTGGAAATTAAATGTAGCCAGAGACAGGGAAGGTGTGCAGCAGCATGCTGTGCTCCTGCGAGGCCTCCCACCCTGCTGAAATCCCAGTTCTGCCTGTGGGATCTGCTCTTTCCTCCTCCTGACTACCCAGTGTGTCACACTGACATGAAGCAGCTGAGCAATTCCCTGCAGTTTTCTGTAATAAAATATCTTCATTCAGCCTGTGCAGCAGTTTGTAGCAAATATAAATTTTGTCTTGCTGAAGGTCCTGCTTAACATACCTGCAACAGAAACACATAATTCCCCTGGCTGCCTCCCCCAGAATTGCCCTACATCATTCCACATGTGTGATGTGAGACTAATGAAGTGCTTTTGATTCTGGAAGTAAGCAGGAGTCAAGTTTAGAAGAGCCAAAATTTGGGTCTAGGGGAGAGAAAATTGGGATCTGCCACCTGGAGGAAAGGCACAGTGAAAAAACATGAATGGTCTCAGACATCAGGTGATTTCAACTAAGGGGCAAAGTGTAATACACCCTGCTGGGGCAGAACATCCATATTTCAAAGTGTCTGGGAGCTGTTGCTGCAGCATGGGGTGCTTTGTAACATCTGTAGGAAAATGGACGGTCCTGCCTTACTCTCAGCTAACTGCTTGACCTTACACTTTTGGTGAGCTCAGCTGCACTGCTCAGTACTTAAGCAGCTGTATCTCTAGCTATTGTAGCTAGAAAGTTCTCCAAGCATCAGAGCTGCTTTTTGCCACCAGTTCTTGAAAAGTGACGTTTGCTTTCCCTCAGTGGGATGTCTAGATGTAAAAAATACAGGCAGATTTTTCTGCTGAAGAGCCATGCTGGTGGTAATGTACCCTGTGACTTGCCTGCAGCTCTGCTCTTTAGCATCACGGGGAGCACAGTGCCTGTAATACACTGCCTGATCTTCCAGCTGCACTTATCTCAGCAAAATACAGTTGTGCCACAATGCAAGCATCATCAAAAGTATTCCTATGATTGTCTCCTCACACATTACTAAGAATGCTGTTAACTTTCTTGTGTAACATCCAAGCGTTTTATAAGTGCACAAATTTACATATCCATCAATTATTCAGCCAAAATATGTTCTGTTTGGAACTGACGCATCCACCCTAGCATTGTCTACAAAAGCGTCTCTTCTCTTTCTCTCATCTGAGGCCTGTCTGGGTCAGGCTGTGAGATGCCTTCTGGGTGGCAATCCCCTGTATTGCAGCAGCAAGGTTGGTGGTGATGTTGGTTGTGCCATATTTCCTTCGGTGGTTTTCTTTAACTTTTCTCTTAATTGAGGTTTCATTACGATGTAAAACAGCGAGCTCTCAGTCACACCTTTCCTCTGCACGCACCTCCGCAGGAGAACAGGAGACATGAAAATACAGCAAAGCCTGCGGCGGAGCTTTCAGAGCACTTCCAGCAGCAGCTGTCTCAAGAACTGTAAAAAAAATTCAGCTGTTCTGCTCTCTGCTTCTCAGGTCTCTTGGGGATGGTGGCACACATGATGTATACTCAAGTGTTCCAAGTGACAGTCAGCCTCGGGCCAGAGGACTGGAGGCCACATTCATGGGACTATGGATGGTCCTTCTGGTAAGTGTCACCACCTCTTAGTATCTTTTCATTTCTGAGTTGGTCCACCAACCTGTTGGGTGACAGTACCTGTCATCTCAAATTGCCAGGAACATGCATGTGAATTTCCAGCTGCCAAAACACTACGAGCAAAACTCCACCATGGCCGTACTATCATTGAAGTGTTAGAGGACAGTTATCAGTAACTGTGCAGCAGCAGCTGTGCATATCAGCAGGTACATAGCATTTCTAAATAAACAGCAGACACAATTACCAACGCAGATTGAGCACTCTCATTAAAGTTCAATTTAGGTACATAATTACCGTGGCATTTCAAAGAGTTTTAGGGGGGTTTTGTTGTTGTTATAATTAATGTCTTTGTTGAACCTTACAGTGCAATTTTTGACACAGCTGCAGAGGAATGCATAGCACTCCTAGCACCATGGTCATTCCCTGTGAGTCATGGGAGGTTTGGAACAATAGACATTTAGGAGAATTGTTGTTTTATATATATGTTATATATATTTGAAACTTTCCCACTATCTTTGAAAATTACATAAAAATAGTTTGGTCAAGATGTACCAACTGCATTACATCATTTGCAAGTTGCTAAGAAGCTTGATAAGAAAAGGAGAATGCAGAGAATAAAAAGACAAACACTGCAGACAACATTCACATCCCTCCAGAAGCATCATCCTCTTTGTATGGCTAATGGGAAAAATACTTGAGTTTTTCTTTCATTTCTGAATATATTGCATCATTTTAATTCCACCTCAAAGCTCAGACAACAATCTTTGCAAACACCAATAAATGAATACAAATACATCTTACGCACAGCACTGCAGGGAGTTATTGGTCTCTCCTCTCCTCAGTAGACCACGTTTCATGAGAGGACTTATAAACATTTTAGTAACGTATCATTAAATATAAACAACATTTTTTTAAAAGCACGCCTTATTAACTGTATTAATGGTAAATATTCATTATTGCATACAATAATGAGCTTATAAAATTATTATAAGTGTTTATAACATATATAATAATAATCATTGTATATTTATTAATATAATTAAATAGTAATGCTTGCTATCTGTTTTTAGTAATCATGAGAGAACTAAACATTCAGACTGTTGCTAAACATCTTGCATGACAAATCAGAGTATCAGAGTATTCTCTTTCATCCCGTGCAAGACAAGAGGCACCATGCCATCAGAGGCTCATAGGTCCTGTATGGCATCCTGGTAAACCACCTGCTAGAGCACAGAGAATTGCAACAGCACTGGAAGGAGCCATGGCTAAGAACCAGAGGGCACGAATGGAGATCCAGACTGTCGTTCACTTTCCATGTAACAATGGGAAAACTATATCTCTCGTAACTTTATTTCTGCTCTATCAAATGGGAATGGTAATTACACTTCCCAAAGTGAGGAATAGTTGCTTGTGTCACAGGGTTCGCAGTGTGGCCTTTGGTCCATGTTACCTTACCCCATTTTCCCAAGCCCTTGACAAAGGCACAAGTCAGGAGTGGAGCAGGATGTCCTGCAGGCAGCGAATTTCAGCAGGCCGGAGGATCAATGGATGTCCAAGCATGGCCCCTCCAGAAACAAAACAAATGCACAAGTTGGAGCTGTTTGAGCCACAAACCGAGCACAGCCCCTAAGCTGAGCCACCAGGGGCAGTACAGATGCAATCCCACTACACTTGATCCACAGCTGGCATGGAGGCACTGCTGCTAAAGAGGTCTCCGCTAAGGTAGGATGCAACTCGGCACCCTTTACATTTAAATTTAACCAGGGTCCGTACAAGCTAAAATATATCAGTCATAGTTGTCTTGTGATGATGATGTGCTAAATGCCAAACCTGAGGTCACAACCAGAGTCTTTGTTCTGCATTTCCTTCTCTGAACCTTTCAGTATTTCTGAGTTAATAATTAGGAATTATCACAAGCCTTTAAGAAAAAATAAGTGTCTCCATATATTATTCACCAGGCACTAAGCAGGCACAGTGAAGCGTGTGGTTTCAGCTGGCTTCTTCCTTGAAATCAATTAGGAGACCAGCTGGAAATATTTGGGGATGTTGGAAATTCTCCACACACTGTTTGAAGCCACTTGCAAGGCTTCCCTGTGCCTGCGATTCTGGACACACACAACACAAGTTTCCTTCCCGCTTCTCAACACAACCACGAGAACCCTAACAAAGCTTCATCCCCTTAGGAGTCCCTGCACTTCTTTCTCATCTGGTTGCATCTGGCAGACAGGTTCAAAAATCCCAAGGAAAAAGCTGCCTCTGCACACTTCATTGCCACGGGAGTCCCTAAAGGACTGTTGTTATGCACTGAATTTTGAAGTCACTGAAATGAGACATTTCTGTTTACTTGAACCATTTTTTCCCCCAGATTTTTCAGTTCATGAATACGTGTTCTTCGCTTAATTTCTAACGAAGAACTGTTTCCTTGTCTGCAGAACATTTGCAGAATGGGAAAACAGTTCATGCTGAGGGCTCTGTTTATAATGTTTATTTATGAGGTAATGCTATTGTGCTGTTTTTTCTTTCCTGCATAATTTATAACAGTGTTAAAATTGGTTATAGAAAAGATGAAAGAAAGGAGCAGGTTAAACGTGTAGCTGACAGATAATTAAGTTAATCTAAGTTTGTTAAAAATTCAATGTGAACAACACATACCTGGAGCTGATGGGCTGAATGCAATGTCCAGGGGAGCCTGAACATGGATAATTTCTGCAAACAAAAGGAGTTCTTCATGTTAGGAGCCCCATGCTAACATTGCTGATCCAGCCTGGCACCGCCACGGTCACTTTATTTCCACTTCCTTCTCCTGCTGTCTCCCCGTGTTCCTGGTTGTCACTTGCATATGCACACCATGGGCTGCCCAAGGCTGACTAGCACTGCCTGCATGCTTGGGTCATGGCCCTCAGGTTGGGGCTCTCTCCAAAATGCAATTGTTGTCTTCTGCTCTGGTTGGGCTTTTGGAGACTGGATGTAAGCCGGGAATGCTAGAAATGACCCTGAGACAGGAACAGCATAAAGATATTAACCTGATGAAAGTAAAATGGAGTAGAAACCACCCATCAAGTTGTGTTGGGAGTTAGTGTCCATGCTCTCTGAGGAATTACAGTTTTCTGCACAGCTCCTTCCAGGAATTCCATAGTGCATTTAGCACTTGCCTGCTAGTATCTGAAACACTGCAAAGAGAAATCAAGACATGCTGGAATTTTGTCAGAGTGCCCAGAGTGTTAAGATTAGCACTCTTCCATATGGTTCCCGATGGGATCGAAGCTGTGCCCAGCCCTTAGCTCAGCATCCTGCCAGCGTGACTGAGCATGTGCCAGAGGTCGCTGGAGGTAAGATGAGGAGAATGGGTTTGTCACTGCTGACTTACCTGCCCGGTCGCATCCTGTGTGTGTGTGTGTCTCTTGGCTTCAGAAACATAACATGAGCTACTGTCTTAACCCAGCTGTCTGCTGGTTTCTCTCTCCACAGTCTGGCATGGGGTTCTTTCACCTGCTGCATGGCGGCCTCCGTTACTACCTTGAACTCTTACACTAAGACTGTCATTGAGTTCAGACACAAGCGCAAAATCTTTGAGCAGGGCTTTCGAGAAGAACAGAACTTCCTAGACCAGGAAGCCATCAAGTACTTCAGAGAAAGGTCAGTGCAGACAGCCTCTCGGTCAGTGGAGGTTAACATGGACTCTGCTAGTCTCAGAAAATCCAGGCACGTGGGGAAAGTCCCGGAGATACCTGGTGAAGATGCGTGTTAAAGAGACAAAAGATCCTACACCGTCCGGTTTTTTTTCTTAAATTTTGTGATGTCCCAGTGCCTGCTTGTTCTCCTCTACTCATTAAGACACAAGGCTGACCAGTCCTTACAGTATGCATCTAATTCACAGAAATTCATACGAAGCTGTATTGCAAATGCAAGCAGATATTCCTTCCCTGAATGAGGTGAAACTGGGGGGGTATAGAAAATGTTACAGCTGTCCTTTCTCAGAGTGTGTAATAGGTAATGCCTTAAAATTCCCTAATAGCTGCTGAGATATATTCCAATCACCACTGGCGTTGCCATCTTCCACACTCACATGCTACAACTCATCCTGAACTCCTCCTCACAAAATCGTGCATCTGTCACATTGCAGTGCTATGCTCCTCTGCATACACACCCACATTTCCACCCACACTGCTGCCAAGGTCCTGGATTCACTTCAGATCTTGGCTGGGCTCTGAAAACCCACAAATGCTCCTTTGCTCTGCCCCCGAGCACAGCCTGTCCCGGTGTACTTCCCACCCCACAGCTGCTGTCCTTGCACACTGAGCCCATCATCATTAACAGCCCATTGGCACGCACTGCACACATCTGCAGACCTGGGTGGCTCTTTAGAGCCAACTGCTCAGTAACCAGCTGGTCCTGACCACAAAGATCTAAGTTCCGTATTCAGCTCTTTTCTTGATCAGTATGACAAGAGGAGTGCTACCAGCAACACCTCTCACAGGATTTTCCACTTCGTAAGAGTTACTTCCAGTCCTTCAGATGAGATCTATCACTCTGCTCTGCATTACACCCCTGTATATTCCTGCTGCATGCTCAACACCCCAGTAGTGCCACCTCCTCCCCAGCAGTGAGAGGGCTACAGGGCAGAGGTATAAAAACACAGTCTATGTTCAATCTTGGCATATGCACTGCTCTTCCCTTCTCATGCACGACTGGCCTCTCACACACTCTTTGGCCTCCTATGTGATTCCATGTTTGGTCCATGACACACTAATCATGCCTTCCCTTTCACTTCCCCTGCACTTCTAGATACACAAAGACTTTCCCCATACACATATACACACCTATCGGCAGCAACCTTCACCTCACTGCTTGCTCATCACAACCATCTGTGTTAAATGTCATTCTCCTTTCCAAAGAACACTGCGGTCAGTCTACTGTCAGCCAAGCCCTGTGCCCTGACCGCTGTTAGCCAGCTTGCTTTTCTTGCTTTTACCAGTGCAGTCAGTCACACCTTGTGCTTGTCACTGATGGCGTTGTGCCTGAGAACACAGCCCATGTGAGCCATTGGAGCAATTCCACTTGCTGGAAGCAGATCAACTGCTCTGAGGGTGCTGACATACGTCACATAACTTAGTTTATTGCTCGTCAATAATTATTCGAGAAAAAGCATAGAAAAGACCTTAAACTTTGTAGGATCCCTCTGAAGGGCACTGGGGGTTCACAACTAGGGCATAGGAATGGTAGAAAGTAGGCTAATTTACTGTGAGTTCTGTAACTTTCTTCTTAGCTGAAGCGGCTGCACTGAGATACTTGCTGTCCTTCTTTGACAAGAAGCTTAAGGCTTTACTTAAAGCAGCAGAATGTGAAGAATACAAAAACACTGATCTCAGACAACAGGGAAGGTGAGAGAGGCTCCTTAGGGGACCTCCATGGAACAAGGAGCTGCTAAGTTCAGAGAATCTTCACCAAAAGCCTGTTGCTGGAATCAACACAGAAGTATTTTGGGTAAAACATACCTAATGAGCATTTGTTCTTCTGACCAAAGCAGCAGGTTCTCAGAGGTGGAAGAACATGGCTGGGAAGCTTTGAGGAGACAGGAAAGCTGGCAGGATCAGACATCTCAGCAGCAAATTGAGGAGTTCTCCTGAGCAGGAAGAATGAGAGAACTTGCTGCTTATAACGTTGCTTTGGTTAGTCGACCTTAAACAGTCCGTGCTGATACAATTGTTCCTCTGTCAGATCTTGAGTTTTCACTCTACCTTTCAAACAATCTTGGAAGGACCATAGAAATGACCCAACCAACCGTGACTTTCTTAATTTTGCATTTAGAGATGGCAATTAACTTTTAAAAACTCTTCACGTTAAATGAATATACACAGGGAAGGGGAAGGGATCACCCTGTGCCTTTGGGGAACACCAAGTGAGGGGAGAATGGTCAGCAGAATTACTGAACTGAGAATTACAGATGGGAGACCAGCAGGATCGTAAGCAACAGAGTGTATTTTGTCACATTGAGAGGTGCTAAGGAAACTTGATAAAATATCACCACTGCCATTTCTGGAACAGGAACTAAAGACATTAACTGAAGAGAGGACTGTAGCCCTTTTCATCCCACACCTGCACTGTGTGGTTTGACTTGGATTCTTCCTGCATTCACACCAATACACCAGGCGAGCAGGTCTTAGTCCACAGTAGCAGTAAGCTGAATGCAGCACTACAGGTTTGTCTCACTCCTCTTGGGAGCAAGGTTTCATTTTGCCTGTGCTACTAGTAGGGTATTTAACACACATGGCCAAGAAAAAAAGAGAGAGGTGCTACCTTAGCCAGTATAAATTCCTGTTTGTTAACTCTTCTTTTATATATATGTCACTCAAAACGAGCTCCATACTAGGCAACACATGTAGGAACAGTCTGTTCCTTGTGAATGCTCTGTATACTGGTCAGGGATGCTCTGAATTTCATGTTTTTTGTCTCTACCACTTGCTCTATGGCAGGACTGTATATTTTGTTCACTCCTTCTGGCTTCTTTGCTCATTTTGAGTCTGTGTGAACAATTCACTTGTTGCTCATCCTCCATTCTTCCTTACACACGTGTGGCAAACACAGCCCAAGCACGGCGTGTTTCCAAAGGGAAATCACACCACATGCACATAACCGCTGCAGCAGACAACTGAAGGTCCCTCAATGGACCCCTGAAATGAAGCTGCTTCTTCTCATAATATAGCCAAACACACACATGCATGGCATCCATCCTCTTCCCACCCATGCAGGGAGACACACACGCCCTGACCACACATGCAGCCCTCAGTCCAGCTGTCACCTCTCATGCAGAATGAGCATCTCTGCCACATCCCCACTCACACTGCAGTGAAATCTCACAGACCCCTCCGCAAACCCATCTCAGCTGCCAATGCCTCACATTTCTGTACTGGTAATTACAGCATTCTTGCAATGTTTTTAATTAGCAAGTTGTTGATACTTGAGCTCAGATTCCCTGTCAACTAATGTGCTTCGTGATTACAATGTTTGGGTGTTGTTTTGTTGTGTTTTTTTTTTTTTTTTGCATTATATCTGTTGTGTCTGAATATGTAACAAGAAGTGCAGAGACAGCATTACCATGGAAGAGATCTAGAGCTGGGCAGCAATACAGGCATTTGTTTGTTTGTTTTTTAAACGCTAGGGCACTTTCAGTGAGCACCAGCACTGTGATCAGGGTGTACTGTGAATGCAGCAGTGCTGCAGCACCAATTAGCAGCACAGTGTTTCTGGATTCTTTGTGTCACCAGGGAAGTGCTGGCGGCTCCAGCAAGGACGTGACTTCCTCTAGCTTTGATCTTCCTTTGCACAAACAGAAATTAACTTAGATTCTCCTTCCTTCCTGGGCATATATCCAGGCATATTTTTCCTTCCCTCCTACTCCTGCATCTCCGCGTTCCTTTTCAAACCTTATAAATAAAGCCCTCCAGCCCTTCTCCCTTGCATTTCTGCATATCACTTCCCTCTTCCTTGCATGTTTCTCTGCCTCAGTTCACATTCAGCACCCAACATACACACACAGTTAGCCCCCACATTGAAATAACTCAGTGCAATGGACAGTTTTCTAAGAGGAAATTATTTTTTTGTGAAAGTTGAAGTCTTAATGTTAGCTGCAATTCATCATTTTGGGAGACGGGAAAAAAAAAAAGAGTTACCTCCATTTTAGCTTGGGGTCCCTTTCAACCCAAGCCATTCTATGATGATTTGTTGGAACACATGTTTATAGGCCCCTGCTTCCACATATGAAGAAGTCTGTATTACAAAAGATAATTGACAATAAAACAGCACTGATCTTCCAAGTGCTTTGTCAATCACAGCACCACTGTATTGCATTTGATTTTTACCACATTTAACTGCATTACCTTCTCAAGAGGAACCCCTAAAATACCACCAGAAGAATCACCAGCCACATGTTAGATGAAAGAGCTGTGATGTTCCCTTGAGAGCTCCTAAATCAAGAAGCACGCACACATTCTCCCCCACACAGGGGATAAGACACATCGATACATGGCTCCCAGCCCTGACACCTGATCCACCTCAGCTATGGTGAACACAACGCAGGCCTTTAAAGCTCCAGAGAGGAAGATCAGAGGCAAAGGAACAGTAGAGGCTTTTAGATGAGAATATGGAAGAACTGGAGCCTAGGGTGAAGGATGGAGGGGCTGAAAGGGTGGAAACCACATTCAGGTGGGTTCTGCATGGAGCAGGGCAAGCACTACCCAAAATAAGGAATAAGAGGTTACTGAAATGATATGAATAAACATGAATGAGCCACTGACCTCTTCTACTGTTGACACGAGGAGGAAGAGGAGCAGCTTTTGAAACGCATCCAGGCCTGGTCAGGCTGTGGGAGAGGTGCTGAGTCCCACTGGCAGTGCAGCCACTGCAGGGTCAGCCATCCTGGCACCGTGGCAGAAAGGCCCCAGTCTGACATCCAACTTCTGCTCCTGTGAAGCATTGTAAATCTCACTTACTAATGACCTAAGCCAACATACAAATTTATCAAGTAAATCTGGAAAGTTCAGCCTTCCACAGTGAATTCATCCATAGCACTGTAACTGCCAACTTGCAGCTGTCCATCTACACCCTCTGTGGCACTCAGCTGGTCTCACAGTATTTTC